GAGGGCCCCGAGAACGCTCGGAGAAGGCCCGAGAGCGACCCCCAGGAGCGACGAGGAAGGGAGGATGGGGAGCGACCCAGCCCCCGCACCACGGAAAGGTTGCGCGCAGCGCCGGCCTCCGCCGGACCATGCACATGGGCGTTGGCGGAAAGTCTGACCGGTCATGTGCGTTCGGCTCCCTTCCGCTCGTCCAAACGGGGCAGAGAACGTTTAAGTCTCGATTGAAGCTCGAGCAACTGGAACAGTGGTCAGTCGCAAGTTGCTCAGCGCTCGGTGCTCCCATCTTGTGAGCCTCGTGGGCCGTCTTGGACGCTCTCAAGACCGAACAGGCGAGTATGGGGGAATCAAATACAACCTCAGTTCTTCGTTGGTTTGGGCCGTTGGGCCTGGTCCCAGGGCTTCCAAGACGGCCCAAGACAGCGCCAGTATCGGCCCGTGAGACCATCTTCGATCCGATTCGAGGTTCAAACCCCCAGCCACGCGAGGGCGCGCTCGTTGAGCACGTTCGCTCCGTGCACGGATACGTGCAGGCTCCATGTTTTTCTCTCGGGTTTAAGCGTCACCTCTGAATGTCCAGTGTCTAGTTACTTCCTCCGTCATCATGTTCATTATCCCTCCTCCCACCTGCCTTGTTCTAATCGTCCTGCAGCTCACAACCGCATCCGAAAATCATTACGAAAAAGTGCTCTAATCCCCAGTCCGAGCCTCGGCATCTGCTCAGGCCCCTCTGGCCATCCTGTCCCATGTTTTCCCTTCCCTGGCACGTTGCCCATTCTCTGAGACCGGTCCTGGTTGTCCTATTCCATCGGAACTAAGATGTTGACTATCCCATCACCTTCACCCCTCCAACGGCGACGTCAGCGGGGCGGTGTTGACAGATCTGAGAGGTCTAACCACCCGGATGTCCGACGATGTGATCTTTTTTCTATCCACGAGCCCCAGAGATCTCGGCCCCTTCCCCAGGGGCAAAGTTTGGCTCAAGATTCCTGTCTGCTGGTTTCAGGGCCCGAAAGCGACACCTGGAGAGCGAAATGTAGGAAACACCTTAAGATTGATAGAAAATAGTCGGATGCCTGGGGACAGGGCGCGAAGACAGCCGCACTTCGCGCGTCCTGGCTTGGACTGGAGAACTGTCCTTCTCCAAGCTGGCCTCGCGTGAACGCGAAGATAACCGCGCCGCGTTCGGAGGTAGGCGACCTGGTAAAACCGCCGGCCATCACCACACCACCACCATGCCTAGCCAGGGCCATCCAGGGCCCCAGGATGGCGCACAGTATAGACCCTCCTGGCCTCGGCCAGGAGGGCGCATGCACCATGCAAGGGCCCAGGATGACCCTGGCTGGACACGGTGGCGGTGTGCACATGCCCCCCGCGCATCACCACTGTGGGGGGGGGCCGTGGCCCGTGATGGCGAGGCCGCCGCCAGAGGGTGCCGCGGGCGCGAGCGCCGCCGTGCGCCAGGCGGGGGGGGGGGGGGGGGCATCGGGATCGCTCGGCCTTGCGCCTCTGGGGAGGGATCCTCCACCCTCGGGCAACCTCCAGCCTGCTCCGCTCACCTCCTCATCCTCTCACTTCCTGACCCCTCCTTCTCCTCCTCCTACTCCTCCTCCACGTCCCTCCTCCCCCCCCTCCTCCTCCCCTTCCTCCTCATCCCCCCTCCTCCTCCTCCTCCTCCTCCTCCTCCTCCTCCTCCTCCTCCTCCTCCTCCTCCGCCTACTCCTCCTCCTCCTCCTCTCCTCCTCCTCCTCCTCCTCCTCCTCCTCCTCCTCCTCCTCCTCCTCCTCCTCCTCCTATTCCTCCCCCTCCTCCTCTTCCTCCTCCTCCTACTCCTCCTCATATGGGCTGCCGCAAGGGCCCCTTTCGCTCCCGCGGTCTCACCTCCCAGCTTGGAGTAGTTGAATGTCAGTTGATTGCATGGTATGGCCGCGGTGTCTTTGTGGCCCTCGCCTCGCCTCGCTTTGTGGGCCCAGCGTCGGCCCCTCTACGTCGGTGTGGCCTGATGTTCGAGAGGCAAGCAGAGCAGAGTGGGTCGGAGGATCGCGCCGCAGCGTCGATGCATCGGCGATGCGGCCCGATCCAGGGCCAAATGTTCCCCACCCCGGCGTCGCCGATGCGTCGTTGACGCGACGCGATCCTCCGACCCACCCGCTCGGGCCCCGCTTGGGCGGCCCTCACTCTCGTTGTCCGCCTCCCTCCTCCTGTGCTCTTCGGCTTGTGACAGCGTGGTTCTCCTCCGCCTTGCGCCGCCGTTTCGGCGGTGCCCATCTCCTCTCCTCTCCTCTACGCGGACTGCGGCCCTCTAGGACGCAGCAAACCCTTACCTCTGGATCCTCGCCCCCCCGCCAGCAAGCCGAGTCGGCCTCCCTGGCCGTGGAGGCCTTACGCGGCGGCGCCGCCCGCGTGCGGGGGGGGGGGGGGGGCGCTTCCGCCCGCTGCACGCGCGCCGCATCCTCTTCGGGCGGCGCCCCGCCGCGCGGCTGGCCTTCCCGTGCCGACCGCGCAGCGCGGCAAGAAGTTGCTCCTCACACCACCGATCGGGAAGGGGACAGGGAGGAAGTGCAGCAGACCGAGGCGGAGGCGGCGGAGGAGGAGGCCGAGGCGGAGGCGGAGGCCGAGGCCGAGGCGGAGGAGGAAGTGCAGCAGGCCGAGGCCGAGGCACAGGTGGCGGAGGAGGCCGAGGCCGAGGAAGAGGAGCCTCGGCCCTCCTCCTTGTCCGCTCGCCCCCTCCGCGCCTGCGCTCGCCTGCCCCGCGAGAGCGCCCCGGGAACGCCCAGCCCTGAGGACGCGAGGGAGCAGCCGCGATCCCACGGCATGGTGCGGTCTGGCCGCGTGCCTGTCGGTCCCCTTTGGGGCATCCAAAGTCGTGGCCCTCTTCCAGCACGCGGGCCCAGGAGCTCTGGGCCCCTTCCCTCCAGGCCACCCAGATGGGGCCGGAGCATGCGGGGTCGGAGGATCGCGCCGCGTCGCTGGTGTATCGCCGATGCTGCGATCCAGAGCCCGGTGCTCTGCATCACGGTGTCGCAGGCGATGCATCGGCGATGCGGTGCGGTTCCTTGGCCCCATTGTGGCGGCCTCCATTCCCTGGGGTCAGTTTTACATCCGAGTCGTTTTCGACGGCCTCCGGGGCCCAGGGATGCGACATCCAGACGCCTAGAGTGGAGGAGAGTTGGCCAGGAAGAGCCCTGACTACTGTTAGCGGCCTTTCGTTGTCTTCGTCGTCGGGGCGCCGACACAGGACGTGGAGAACGAGAACGAGGAGGGGCGAACGACAAAGACTCCACATTCGACCGACTGACCCATCGACGACCAGGGACGACGACGCCGAGGGCTCCTCGGCATCTGATTGCACGGGCCGCGCGGCCAGGACGTCCGCGCGCCCCTGTTCGAGGGCCCGCGCCGCCTCGTCGCCAAGGTCCAGCTCGGCGAAGAGAGGGCCAATATGTTGCCGCATATTGAATTTTCGTTTTTCTGGGGGATTGGTAGTGTGGGGAGGTGGTCGGCATGGTTCCCGGTCGGCCGCCGTTCGAGTCTGGAAGGAGGTGTCCTCTCACAAGGAGCCATGACAAGCCCTGTCCAAAGGGGCAGGAGAGGGATGGAAGAAGGAACGCTCTAAACCATTAAGTTATGCCTACAGCACTGGTGGCACTACCACACTGGAATTTCAAACCTCGTTCCTCGAGCAGCCCTGCCCAGCAGAACAAACGTGACCTCGGCACGCCGACGTCGTATACCACCGCGAAGACACGTGACATGTTCAGGACGTCGAAGGTCTGGGCCGCCCAGCAGTTGTCGATGCCATCTGCCTGGGTACCGTTTTGCCAGGTCGGATCATCCCTCTCCGACGACCGCACCTTGCCCCAAGTCGCCCTGCCCCGCGGCTAACTCCTCCCCAGGTCGCCCTGCCGCCCACGGCTGCCTTGCGGGCCGAGCTGGCCGACGCTTGGGCGCTGTTGGCCGAGCGCGGCGAACGCCGGCGCGAAGCGGAGGCCTCGCCGCGCGCACGGCGCGCGCGGACGACGGCGCGCGACGACGGCGCGCGGCAACGGCGCGCGACGACGGGGGCGACGGCGGCGGCGGCAAGCACGCGGCGTGCTGCGACAGCGACGGGGGCGGCGGCCGCGACTGCGGCGTGAGGCCGTTTCGGTACTCTGTGCTCTGTGCCCCCCTCCTCTCCACGATCGAAGCCAGCAAAATCGCCCCCCTGGCGAGAGGATTGCAGACCCACCGCCAGTGGTGTGTATGTGTGTCTCGTGTGTAATGCACGTTATGACTGCAACACAGGTGCAAGGCACGCCGTGGAATATGAGCGTAATCCCCCAATCAGAGTTTGCCTCTGTAGGGGTCCTAGCGGATTCGAAAATTCAGGTGCAGCGTTTGACTTCGGCCACAGCTCCTAGACTGAGACATCAGCAGATGTCGATGTGTACGTTGAGGTGTGGTCCCGGCTTAGGCGTTATCTTCGGCTTGTGTTGCAAGTTGATCGTTGTACGTACGTGTTGGTTCAGCGCTAATTGTGTATGCGAATTGCTGTGCCATTCGGTTGTGCATGAAGCTGATGGGTGCATTAGTTCAGCCTAATGTTCTGGTTAGTTTCAGTTTCAGTTTAGCCCAGCTTGACTTAATAAACAGACGGTTCCTAAATGTCTGCATGTGTTGTCCCTCCTCGCACCGGTAGGGGAGTTGGGGCGACGGGGGGGGAGGCAGAGGGGCAGCGTGGGAGGAGGAGGAGGAGGAGGAGGAGCAGGAGGAGGAGGAGGAGGAGTGGGAGAAGCAGGAACCATCGGAGGAGGTGGGAAACGAGGGGGCGGAGGAATGGAAGGAGGATGAGGCCTCCTCCCCTCCCCCTCCTTTTTCGTCCTCCATCCCTCTCCTCCTGCCCTCCCCCCTCGCTCCCCCTGATTCCTGGGAGGGGCTGAGGCGGGCGATGCCAGACGGCTGCATGGGGGCGGGGGAGGGCGCGCTGTTGCCAGGCGCTCCGCAGGGATTGCCGCCGCGCGGAGGACTGGGCGGCCTTCAGGGAGAGGGGGCGAGCAGGGGGGGGGGGTCGGGGTAGGACGATGAGGACAAGGAGGAGGAGGAGGAGGAGGAGGAGGAAGAGCAGGTTCGGGGGAGCGTAAGACCCGGGTTTGCCAGGACTCGAGTTCGCCATCGTTTTTTGACGACCGCGCCTCGGATTTTGACGAGGAGGAGTTTCGTGGGATGTCTGCAGCGGGAGGCCTCGTCAAAATGCAGGCTCGGCCTCGTCATTTTTTTGACGACCTCGTCGGGGATTTCCGAGTCCCCTGTACCCGGGTCTTACGCCCCCCTGACAGGTGGAGGGGAAAGCGAGGATAATGACAGGATGAGGAGAAGGGCTAGGAGGAGGCAAACGAGAGGAGGAGCAGCAGGAGGAGGAGGAGGATCTCCCCGTCCCCCGTCTTCCTCCCACTCCCCCCACACACACACCTCTTCATCCTCTGTCTCCGCATCCTTCTCATCGGCGTCATCATCCTCATCATCACCACCATCATCTTCGACAGCAGCATCATCATCGTCATCACCCTCATCATCATAGCATCAGCATCAACATCACTATCATCACCACCATCATCACCATCATCATCACCATCATCATCACCCTCATCAGCATCAACATCATTTTCATAACCATCATCAATCTGCCGCTCACCCCCCGCGTCATTACCCTCCGGCCTGATGTACTGGAGTCGAGCTGCCATAGCCCGGCGACCAAAAAGCGGAACCCCTCGTCATTAGCCTCCATTGCCGGCGCCGTGACTAGACCGCCGCACCCGCAGCCTCACTGCCCCCTGAAGCGCGTTCCCGAGCTCGTCTCCGCCATGGCGTGGCATGACGCTTGCGTCACCGCCCTGTCGAAGGATTGCGTGCTTCGATTGGCCCATGGCTGCCTTCAGCGAGCTCGCCAAACTCGCAAGTGGCTCCTTCGGTCTGCTGTGCCAGGAGCATCGGGCTCCAGTTCACTCGACTTTGCCATTCGCAGTGCACGGGTACAGTCTCACGTCGGTCTCTCTCTTCGACGCGCGTTCAGCTGCATAATTTTTGCAAATAATTTCGGACGTCGGTGATCCATTCCGCCCGGGGGCGCTCGGAGGGCAGCGACGCGCGCGCCCGTGGAGTGCCCCCGCCAGCTTTCACCAGAGGGTTGCTTTGTCAGAAAGAGGGCCATGCCAATCTCCGAGGGGGCGCCGAGCGCGGAAGACACCGCCCTTCGCAGCGCCCTGGGCCGCTGGGGCGATCCAGTGGTCATGGCCACCACCTGCGCCGAAGGGGGCGACAGCTACGCCGGCAGTTCATCCCCCTACCCTCACGCGGAGAAACAGGCACTCCTAGTTGAGAGCCGCCGCCAAGACGCGCCGCTCGCTCTCTGCGCGCTGGAGCAAGCCAAACCCATGGCCATCCCCACCTTCCGACGCGCGGCCAAGGGCGCGAAGACGCAGCCCAGCCACGTCGCTGGCGCCGTCTACCAGCTGAATTCCGAAGCGAAGAGGCGCGTTGCCTCAGCGGGTCGCCAGGGCCAGTCTCGACCGACATGCCGAAGCGGCCACGTGGACGCGCGTTTTTGACAAAACCGAAGGCGCCTGTGCGACACCCGAGCTATCGACCCCGTTGACAGAGCGTTCTCAGGCGCAGGCCAATCAACGGGGACCGCCCCAAGCAGCAGGAGAAGGAGTCGAAACGGACCGACGCCGCCCAGCGATGGAAAGCGGAAAGACAGAACGCGGAGAAAGAGAACATAGACGACAAGTTCCCACGCTTCTCACAGGGCAGCATCGCGGAGGCGCCAGCGAGACTGACGCGCCACGGAGTCGCGGCACGCAAGCGGAGCCCAACGCCGCCTCCAGCATTTCCCCACGGGGCGCCGACGCGGCCCTCGCCAATCCGGCGCGCCGGGCGTCAATCTCGACCTCGGCTTTCGCGGTGGCGCGCCGCTTCGCAGCCCCAGCGCCGGGCGCCAGACTGATTGGCGACAAAACAAGAGCACCCTCCTGGGGACCCTTGCCAGAGCCCAGCACCACCAAACTGTCGGCGCCGTCGCGCGTGATCGAGCCGCGGGCGCGCGCCGACGCCGAGGCACCGAGGCGGCAAATCCGGTCGCTCTCGACCGCCGCGGCGCGGTGGCCGTCGCTAGTTTCGCCGCGCGCCGCCTAGAGGGCATCCATTCGCGGGCGGCAATTGAGAGGGAGATTCAGGGCGCGCTGGGCCCAACAGAAGGGGGGCCGAAGCGTCACGCGTCGGCCTGGGCCTCGCGAGTGGGCTTCACTTCGCTAGCGCGAGGGCAGTCAAACACCCGCCGCGCGACGGCGGCTGCCCGCGCGCGCCCGCAGCCGCGGTTGCTCCGCGCGACGTGGCTAAAACCCGCAGCTAAGCATGGCATGGCGATTACTACCACGGCCTAGGCGCTGCAGCAGCGCGCGCCGCCGCCGGCGCTCTGCCCCCCAGGGTCGCCGAGCGCGCGGCAAAAAAACATAGCTTGTTGCGAGAGAGCAACCGCGCCCCGCAGCCGCGCGCTCTCCAACGCGGGCCCGCCGAGCCCTGCAGAGGCTTCCCGCGGCAGGGCCAACGGCGGCCGAGAGCGCCCGCGATGCCCGCGGCCTCAGCTGCGCAGTCGCCGCCCCCATTTAGTCCGCTTCCGCTCGATCTCAGCTGGCGCGCGGCCCGATCGACCTCATTCGGGTGGCCAGCATGCGCGGCTGCAGGGCGCTGGCCCCGACCGCGCGGGCGGCGACGCAGCGGCGTCTGGACCGCGCGCGCGCGCACTTTTCGAGCAGCCGCGCGCCGTCTACCCTCGCGCGCCGGGCGCGCGCGGGCAAACAGTCGGCGCCGAAAGGGGCGGTCAGGCAGCGGCCAGTCCGAGGGGGGCCGAGGCGGCTGTCAAGGAATGACCGCAATGCCAGAGCTGGCCAACATTAGGACGACAAGGGCCTGCAAGACATGGGAAAGGAGGGCGAAGAGCGACAGCGGACAGCCGAAGGGGGGGGGGGGGGGAAACGAGGGGGGACATGGGCCGACCGACCGACGCGGGAGGGGAAGCCGAGGGGAAGGAGGGAGACACCACGCACCACAAGGGCAAGGCAAGACACGAAGAGGGGGCAAGAGCCAGCCGAGGAGGGAGTCGATATCGAGGAGGGCGGGGGAGGGAAGGCAGCGGGTCGCCGCCCCGCCGAGTGGAAGAGAGAGGGCGGCCGCGCGGCCGGAGAGCTGACCAGCCGCCGGACGACGCGGACGCCCCCCGCGGAGGGAACAGAATAGAGAGCGCTCGCTAATTTCCCTAAGGGCTTGTCGACTTTTCGCCGATCGACTTGTGGGGAGCGAGCCAGAAAAATCCAGGTAAATGCAGATAAATCGAGGTAAATCCAGGCAAATCGAAACAAATCCGGGTAAATCCAAAGATCTCCGAGGAAAGGTGAAGCAACTCGCGGCCGCTCCAGCGCGAGTCGAAGGACGGCAGAAGTCGTTAAGCCTTTAACGATAATTACACCAGACACCCCAAAACGGGGGAGAACGGCGGGGAGAGGGGGGGGCGACAGCGACAGGAGAAGAGTGAGGAGGGCAAGGGAAGACAGAGGGACCGTCGGAGTGCCCCCGGCCGAGGGAGCAGGCGCGGCAGAGTTGGGGCACCGCGCCCTGCCGGCGGCGCAGCAATTTGTAGCCGGAGCTGGGATGCCCGCCCTGCTAGCGGCGCAAGAAGACGCAGCCCGCCTTGCCAGCGGAGGAGCCAGACGGGGGCCAGACGGACCCGCAGCAGATGCGGATGGCCCCCCCGCGGAGGGGAAAGCGCGTAGAGAGTGCGCTCGCAACATTTGGCATTTTGATATATCTGACATCCCGCGGCAGTTCAACGCCCTGCCGGGCGGCCATGGGGGGGGGGGCGGGGCCTCCAGAGCGGAGACCCAGGGGGCGAAGCATCGGGGCAGTGGCGCCGCCTTACCAGCGCCCCGGGACGAAGGGGGAACGGCGGGGGGGGAAGAGAAGACGCGGCCGACAACTAGAGGGCCGAGGAGGAGGCGGGGGGGCGACGAAACATGCACGCTGCAAACGCAAACAGGGTATGATGCACAGATCATGGCTCTGCCCTCTGCGCCGTTTATACGAGCCGAGGTCGCAGGGAATGAAAACGAAGGCAACGACGTGACACATCGGCGCGGTGACAGGTTCGTTGACTGAACCGCGCAATCAGAAAGCTATGTCAGACGCATCACAAACGAGCCGCCCAGTCACGTGGCCGAGCAGTCCAGGGAGCGGTGACGAACAAACAATCACCGGGCGAGCCGAGGTCACCGGACGAGCCGACCTGCAACAGGCAATCTTGCGCAATCAACTGGAGCCTTCTAAAGCAGGAAACCGACATGCATGCCCAGCCGGAGGAGAGAGCAGGAGAAGGGGAGGTGAGGAGGCGCCGCTCCGATGAGCAACGCGGGGCCGGCATGCGGGGGCCAGGCCCGCCGCGAGCCCGATGAACAGGAAATGTGGCTCTGGACTCCCACCGGAGTGCAAAGAGGTGAATATGTTTGAAATAGATCGAAAGCTCCCACAAATAATGAAAGGCAACCGTGTTTGACATATGTCAGGGGCACCCACCAACGCACGCGCATGAACATGTCTGGAATGCCCCAAGAGACACCAACTCTGCAGGGAGGTGAACATGTTTGAAATATTTCAGGAAACACCCACCAAGCACGTAGGCGAGCATGTTAAACATATAGCAAACACACACACACACACACACACACACACACACACTTTGCGTCGGCGGCTGGGCAGAGGGAGACTGCTCCAGTGGATGGGCAACACGGGACACGCCGCGTGCGAATTAAGGCCGCCATGCACGGAGGAGGAGGAGGAGTAAGAGCCCCGACGCGGCAGGAGAAGAGGAAGCCGGGCACACTCAGAGACGCCGACTGCGGCAGGGGGGGCGTCGGGGGGGGGGAACCACCGCCTGCGCTGAGCTGCGCTGAGCTGCGTCGAGCTGAAGTTGGGGGGG